AGCTAGGGGAATGGAAGTAACTTCCCCCCAAGATGTAACTGGGAGGCAGGTCCCCCAAGTTACAGTGTCTGCCTGAGAGCTTGGAGAAGATTGGCTCCATGACATGGGGCCATGCCTGCCCAGAGTCACCATAGCAGCCCAGTAAAGCTGGAAGGATACGAGAGTGCTGGCAAGTGTAGTCAATTGTGGGAGGAGTCAGAAATGGGGCTGCAAAGCAAGCTTGCTGCAGGGATTTAAACCCCGACACTGCAGCCATTAAGGAGGGAGGACCACAGCCAGTGCAGGACAGAATCACTTGGTCTTTAGCAGAGTGGGGGCTCCCACAGCCCTGTGAGAGAGAATCACCATGCAGCTTTGGCAGAGATCCCGGCAACACAGCTGATGGTGCTGAGACCCGAGGAAGGCCTACCAGTCGAGCACAGATTACTGGGAAGAACTGGGGGCTGCCTGAGCCTCGGACTTCTATTTCTTTTCCTGAGATATGGTACCCCAGACTGGGAAAGAGGGGAAAGGAAGGACTGTGTGTGTTTGTGGGTCTTTTAAGGGACTTTGGGATTTTGATGAAGACATTAGGTCACTACTTTAAGTCTGTACAGCATTAAATAAACATTTCTTTTCCTTTTCACAAATCTCTGGCATTGAGAGATGTCTTTCCTATAAAGCAGCGGACATAACGAACCTGGGGGGTTCCTTTCGGTAATAGTTATTGCCCTTTGGCCCCCTTGTGTTCTGTAACAATAGTGTTACAGAACAAACAAGGGGGGTGGGGCCTGGGACAATATACTATTATTGAAAGAAGGCCCCGGGTCCGTTATGTCCTCCGCTCTAGGAAAGATGTCTCTCAATGCCAGAGATTCGTGAAAAGTAAAGGAAATGTTTATTTAATGCTATACAGACTTCAAGTAGTGACCTAATGTCTTCATCAAAAATCTTAAAGTCCCTTAAAACACCCACAAACAGACACAGTCCTTCCTTCCTTCCCCCTTTGCCCAGTCCAGAGTACTGTATCTCAGGAAAGGAAAATGAAGTCCATGGCTCAGGCAGTCCTCTGGTTCTTAGTTAGTCCTCCATCTCGACTGGGAGACCTCCCTGGGTTCCCGGCACCCTCGGCTGAGTCGCCGGGATCTCTGCTAAAACCAGGTGGTGGTTCCCCTTCTAAAGCTGTGGGGGTCCCCGCTCTGTCCAGGCCTCGTGGTTCTCCCTCTCAGGGCTGCGGGAAGGGGAAGAGTCCCCACTCTGCCAAAGCTGTGTGGTTCTCTCTCTCTCAGGGCTGTGCATGGTTCTCTCCCTCAATGGCTGAGGTCCTCCCTATTCTGCTAAAGCCGCATGGTTCTCTCCTCCTCAGGGCTGCGCTTGGCTCTCCTTCTCAAGGCAGCATGGTTCTCCTTCCTAAAGCACCACGGTTCTCTCTCTCCAATGGCCGCCAAGTCTGGGTTTTAAATCCCCGCAGCCAATCTTCCTCTGCACCCTCATTTCCGACTCCTCCCACACTCGGCTTCACTTGCCAGAACTCGTATCCTTCCAGCTTTACTGGGCTGCCATCTTGAGTCTGGGCAGGCATGGCCCCATGTCCTGGAGCCAATCTTCTCTGAGCTCCCACGCAGGTGCTGTAGCTTGGGGGATCTGCCCCCAGTCACGTCTTGGTGGGGAAGTTACTTCCATTCCCCTGGCTCAGAGATGATCACAGCTATTTAACATATCCATGCAACCAGCCAAAGGCTATAGATATGTTAAATGACCATGCCAGAGGGTAGCTGCAAGGCTGTTGCTATGAAAAACAGCTCTCAATGGCCCTGCTCCATTTGTCCCTTCCCCCAACCCACACCCTGGGTGGGGGGATGGAGACATCTTAAAATCTCCTGGACACCTTGAGTTCTGGACCCCATTTCAAATGCCCATTTGGGGTCCCCCCTCTTGGCTGCACCCTGTAACAATAGTGCAGATTCAGTAGGCACTGGGGGGGCACCTGAGAGTCTGCATTTCTAACAAGCTACCCGGTGATGCCAATGCTGCTGGTTCCACAGACATGCCTTGAGCAGGAAGGATCTAGAGGGCTAGCTGCCCCCAGGAGCTCCCACTTTTAATAAGGAAAGTGCAGTAAATGTGCAGACTGAGCTCTCCAAGGCAAGAGTTATTTTTTTCAATCACAGTGTCTAACCAGAGGGCCTGATAACACCATAGAAAATATTTCTTGGATAGATGGATGGATTGTGAAACACATATGGATGGATAGGTGGATGGTTGCTGATATTAAGATCAAATGTGCAATCAGAAACAACTGGCAAATAATATACTGCCCTATAAATTACATATTTAGGTAAAAAATGTCTTAGGGGGAAATGGAGAAAAGGAAAAGGAAGGAAGAAAAAAGAAGGGAAGAGAGGGCATTGAAAGATGAAAAAGGATCTCTGAACCCCCAAAGAGTTTTCACCTCTCCTAGAACTTCTTTCTAATGTAGTCAAATGAATGGCTGAGTCATATACCTTCCAGCAGACTACATGGTACATGTTCAAGGCCTGTGTCTTTTATTTTTTAAGCCTTGGTGTCTGGCACAATAGCTGGCTCTAGCAGAAGCTCCATAAATACCATTCTGTGATGAATAGGGCTAACAGCTCCATTCATGAAGTCTCTTTTAGGAGCCAGACACTTCACAGGGATTATCAGATTTAATCCTCAAAACAATTTTATGAGGCCAGTGCTATTATGTTCCCCATTTTATAGATGAGGAACGTGTAGCTCAGGAGAATTAAGTAAAATGCCCACAGCCACACAAACAATCAGTAGTTGGGATTGGGACACAGGACTCCAGGCCACCACAGCCCGTGCTCCTGACCAAGTGACAGCCATGTTTGGTAAAGCCTGAAGGTGCTCCTTTTTGAGATGCTCCTTTTAAGAAGAAAGTACACCCCAAAAATATGCTGCAAAATTTGCAAAAACATATGAACATATCATGGGGGCCCTCCTGTCCTTGGTGAGTTGTACAAGGGAGGGGCTCTGTGGCTTGGGCTTTGTTAGCTACATGCCAACACTGCCTCTCATCTGGACCCCCATGCTGGACACAAGAGCTAAAGGAAGAGGAAAAGGAAAATTGGTTGAAGAAAGAAAGGAAGAGATAAAAGGGGGGCAAAAGGGAAGAGAGGCAGGAGAATAAAACAGGAGAGGGATCTAAAGAGATGGATCGAAAAGAGAAAAAGCACTCAGGGCAGGGCAGGGCAGGACAGTAAGGGGCTGGGGGGAGCTACAGCTGCCTCTGATGAATCCCTCATTCATCAGAGGTGAAGGTGGGGTTCAGCCAGCTGCTCCCACCTGGACCCTGGGTGGAAGGGCCCTTTGCTCTGTCCAGGCCTCTATGCCTCTACATATATACCTTGCAACCTACTCCTCCAGCATTATAGTGACCCTGCTGACATCCTACCCAAGCCTCTCCCCAGGCTCCCAAACCCCCAGAAGGTAGACTGGAGCAGGAGCCAGAAGGGCTGAGTAATCGCCCTCCAAACAGCCGCACCCATCAGTGTTTTTCCAGTAGAAAAAAAAAACCTGGGGCCAGATATTTAGCCTGGCACATACAGGAACAAAAGAGGAGGAAAGCTTGTTCCAGGGTAGCCCACTAGCCTTTCACTGCCCCACTGCTGGGTCATCCTCAAAAAAGGAGATGCCCGCCTGGGTCTTTGCAGCCTGTGCCCTTAAGTCACCTGTTCTGAGATCACAGACTCTTGACTCTACCCAAAACTTCCAACTCTAAAGGCTACCAACCTAGAGTGGAGAAGTATTGGGGAAGCATGTTAGTTCAAAAGATTCTCCAGACTAACCTCAGATCTCTCCTGCTCAGAGAAAAGTCCAAGGCCACACTGCACTGAGCAGCTGAGATCTGGCCAACAGTCAGTCAAATCTACCTTATATTTCTTCTCAGATGTCACCTAGGTCTTCCATGAGCAATATCTCCCCAGATCATGTAGGGGAGCTTTCAGACACTTGTGTTATATTCAGCCTCTTCACATGGCTGGTAGTTGTAGGAGAATGAGGTGCAAGCCTCAAGTCTGCCCCCAAAACTGGTATGATTTAAGGGCCAGTCACCTCATGAGCCATGAGCTATGATTTCCTCAACTGTCACGTGGGAACAAAATATTCCTTACAGGATTGTTGTAAGAACTAAAGAGATGACACACAGATGCATGTTTTCAATGGAAGGGCAAATGCTCAAGTCTAACCTGTGCTGATCTCCAAAAGGGGCCAAGGCTGAGAAATGGAGGAAGATCTGGATTTGTTCAGAATCCAACACTCATTTACTATGTGATCTTGATACTTGATTTTGCCTCTCTAGAATTTAGTTTCCTCACCCACAAAAGGAGCAGGAGAAGATAGTTGCCCAAGACTCCTCCAGCTCCACAGTTCCAAGGTCTTGCCTTCACATATCCTAGCCAGGGGCAGGGCAGGCCTCAGGGTGTAGCAGGATGTGAATTATAAATTACCCTGCCAGGAGGGAAGACCTGGGTCTGAGCCACAGCACCAACAGTGATATTCAGGATGTTAAATAACTGGTGAGGCAAAGTCAAGAAGCTCTTGGGTGGCTGGTAACGTTGTGTATGAGCCCTGCATGGGAAAGCTTCGCACCTGGGGGCCAGGTTTATCCCATCTCAAGGGATGGAAACAATCCAGTTCCACTGGGCAGTAAATTTTGTCATCCCAACCCCCAAACTCCTCCAACTTATTACAACCCGAAACAAAAACATTCACACAGGTGAGAAATCATGAAACTAGGAGAAAGAGAGCCTTTTAACATCACTGTCAGCCAACATCAGGTTGGGTGGAGTAATTCAGGCAGGAAGGCTTTTGTGACAACTAGGTGTGCCACTTGTTCTAAGGTAAAGGGCCTATGAATGACTCCAGGTGTTGCTCCAAGCCCTAAGATGGATATCAGGTTACAAGACACATAATCATTCCAGTTTAGCAACTTCAGCTGTAGGGTTGTTCTAATTAACCTGCACCACAGTCCCCAAATCACTCCTGTAATACTGCAGAGGGAGCTGGACAGATCATTAAGGGGAAAGAGATGCTGGACACAAGGGACCAAGGCCTGCTCTGCACTAAGGCTTCTTCCAACCAGTGCTGCTGGGGATCTCTGACCTGCTGACCAGCCAGGAGCCCACCAGGGGAGGACCTCCTCCTGATTTCAGTTGCTGATCTCAGCTCCCAGCCATCAAGAAATCAAGATCTCAAAACCAGCATGGTGAGTGTGGGGCCCTCTGCATGAGGGTGAGGGTGAGGGTGCATGGTCTCCCCACAAAGAGTCTTCAAGGCAGCCTGAGAGGTTATCATCAGCTGAGAATTTTATAACACCCTCCAGGTTAAAAAGAGGTCACACCTGCATTGACGCCACACTCCAGCCCCTTACCTCTTTCAGTACCCACCTGCCCTGCTCTCTTCCTCCCCTCCAATAGCCCTTGCACCAGCAGCAAGGCAATCGAAACACTGAGGCCAGACCTATCCTTTCTGACTATTCTCCCCCTGAATCCTACCTGCTCTTTTGCCCACTGACTTCTGGTCTGTTAGCTAGAGGCTGGTACTTTTCTAAGAGCTGGGGGCTGTTTTGATGCCACAGGGGCCTTTTGCCACTTCCTTGGAGAAACTGGCTCATTTTCTTTTTAAAGAAAACAGTGGACAGCTGCCTCAAAACAATCTAGAGTGCCTGTGGGGATCTTCCTTTCAGTCTCTTTTTTGGCCCTGTCCTCTCTCCCCCCTTCTCTGAACACTTGACCTGCTTCACTGTCTTGAGGCAAAGAGAATAAATCCCAGACATCTGAGTACACAAAGGGGAGAGATAAAGTAAATGGTGAGTGTGAGAGAGGACCCAGGGAATCTTCCTTTTCCAATCGTTCACCAACATGCACAGTTGCCCAACAATTAACATGAAAATGAGAGGGGAGGGAAGGGACCAGAAGGGAAAGGGGAGCATCCCCTCAAAGAGGAAAAGAGGTGACTTACTGGGGCCCCTCAGATGACTCCTGGCCTGAGCACTTTCCATGGGACTCCTCTGAAAAGCCTGGCAAAGTTCTAGCCCTAGTGCTTAGGTGGCTGAGGGTCAGAAAGGGGTGGGGCTTGCCTGAGTCACACAAGATGCCCAGGTCCCCATCCAAGGAAGCTCCCAGAAGCCCAGCCTGTGTGCCGAAAAGCTGCATCCCGCTGGGGCTCTCAGAAGAGAACAGGAAATAGTGCCAACCCACCTGGCTGTGAGTTGCCCTGAGGAAACCTGGGGTTCCTCTTGGGGGAGCAATGCAGACGACAGTAGTTTCTAGGGCAAATAACTAGAGCACTAACTATAGAATCAAAAGGCCAAATAGCCAGCTCCCTTGGAAGCATATTAGTCTTGAGACTTTAGTCTTTCTAAGACTCATGTTCTCCCTCTGTAAAATAGAAATATTATCCACACACACCCCCATGCACACACACAACATCAATGGAAAAGCTGAATACACTAATAATGTATGTGAATAGGCTAAAAACCATGAAGTCCTGTGCAAATGTAAGGATTATGACTGAAGAGGAATTCGCTCCAGGAAATGAATGACAGGTCAGTGGCATGGCCAACCCTACACTTCACCATTCAGGAAAGGCATTATGTAAGTGAGGGAAGGCAGGTAGGCATGCTATGGTATAGGGACCATGCCTGGGGCCCCAAAGGCAAGGCAGCAACATGGGCAGGATCCATGGTAAGACCAGGAAGCCTCTGGCCCCTGAGCTAGGCATGAAACTACCCTGTCATCTTCTTCTAGTGAGGCCAGGACAGTCATAGTTCCCAGCACTGGGAAAAGATAGGACACCTCCTGCCCAGGCCCACCCTTCTCTTCCCCTTCCCCTCCCTGCCTCCTGCCACACCCATCAGGTCCTTCCTGGGACTGAGAGTCAGAGTTCTACAGAGTTGCTGTTTCTTAACAATGGTTCTCACTTGAGCCTATTCAATGAGGTGTGCCTAGTGAGAGCAGGAGGTGGAGAAGGCCATGTGTGGAGATCTGAACACAATCTCTGTCCTGGAGGTGAATGTGTCCCTTGACACCTAGGCTGCATCTGAGCCCTGAATGGAAGCCCAGGCTTTATGACCAGCCATCCTGGTCTTGATCAGCATTTCCCAAGGGGCCTCCCATACCCCAGGAGCCACCAGACTAGAGTGTTCAATGCTTGAGGTCAATTCCAATCTCTGGCTGCTATGGAGGAAGCAGGTTCTCCTACCCTCTCCTCCCACCTTGCCAGCTGGTACAGACCAAGGGGTTCACTGGGCTTGGCTGGGACTAAGGAATGAGGCAGGTCAGCAGGCCAGCCTGCTGGCAGCAGGGATCTGGGAGCATGGGCAGGGTCCACCCCAGATGGAGGCAGAGTCCAGGAGCCCACTCAGGCCTGGTGGATGTCATTCTGGGCTGCCTAAAATGGGTGGACAGTAAAAGACCCAAGAGGGCAAGATAAGCAAAAGAAGGCTAGGCCCTGCCTGTTCTCCAGGACCCCTCACTACCTGGGGGTGAGAGGGGAGAGGTTCTTGATTCCACTATGACCCCCAAAGTAACTTCATCCTTCCAACCACCACTTAATCAGTCCTTGCTATTGACTACCTCCAGGTGGCTGGAGCGGGTTGGGGACAATAGGGTGCAATGCATATGTTCTTCCCTGGAAGTACTCAGAATGCAGAGGTAGACCACTCCATAAGAAAAGGGTACTAAGAGAGTGTGACCTTGTATTACCTATGGTATTGGATAGGTGACACGAGGGGTCATACAATAGGTGACACAAAGTACCCCAGGGGCAGAAAAGGGAGTAAATTCTCTCTAGGGTAGTTGGGGAGTTGTCCAAAAAGAGAAAGTACTTTTTCTGGACCTTGAAAGGTGAGCAGGCTCTCTCCAAGCAATATGAACAGGAAAGAGTAGCAGTGGGGACAAGGAGGATGGTGCTTTGGCTAGAGAGCAACAGGCCTGGGGAGCGGGGCAGGGAGGAGGGCATAGCTAAGGTCAGGGGCCCCCATGGCATAGTCATGCAGGCCCCTACATTAAGCTCAGGTTCAGGGTTCCCTGGAGCCCAGTGGGGCTGGGCCAGGGAAAGGCCCCAACAATTGACAGGGTCTCATGTTTGGGCCCCCTCCAGAATTTGGCCCAGACCACCCTTCCCCTACCAGGCAGGGAAGCAGGTGTCTAGCCCCATTCATTCATCCACAGAATAGGTGGCATGCCTCCTCAGTACCAGCACCAGCCATGCTGGTAGGAGGAAACAGACAGGGGTCCTGCTCTTAGTGTCCAGAGAGGGTGGGCGTGGAGAGAGAGATAGGGGGTTATCAAACAATCATCTAAACTCATGTTTAACTAGCAACGACTGAAACTCAGGGCACTCTGAGTGTTCTACCAGGCCTGTGACCTTGTTGAAGGTCAGAGGAGGATGAGGGCTGCATGTGAGCTGGGAGGGTAGGGAGAATGGGGCATTTCAGGCAGAGGGAACAGCATATACAAATGTGGAAGCACCACCTCCAGGCCCTCTTCCCTGTCTGAGGGTTCTTCTCTCCTACCCTAGGGGTCAGCTCTGTGCCTGGCTACTGACAGGGAGAAGTGAAGTAAGGCCTTCCCCCTGCTTCAGGCCTCTTTCCTCCTCAGTCTTCCTCTGTACAGCTGAGAAAGCCAGCAGTCACCTGCAGCAAATGACCCTAGCTTGTCCCTATAACAAAGCCCAAGGGAATCTGAGGAGCTGAATATAGGAAATGAGGAGAGATGACTGCAAGGCAGAGGGGGTAATAGGGAAAAGAAACGAGGGTTCAGGAACTCTGGACAAACTTTCTGAAGCCCCAGAGACAACCCAGAACAGCAGGAGATGAATGCAGGCCTCTCAGACTTCCCAGACAGCTCTTTACCCTCAGCCTCCCTTCTTGCTCACCTGAAAGCATCTGCCTCTGTAAACACCTCAAATTCCCAAGCAATGATTGCCCAAAATAGTTAATTCCCTCAAACCTAAAGTACATTCATCTGCTACATATTTTTATAAACTTGCTGCCACCAGACTGTGACCTTCTTTAGGTTGGAGTCTATGTCTTTTCCATTTTTTAGCCCCAAACCTAACAAGAGCTGGCATACAATAGGCAACTGTTATGTTTGTGAATGAATGACAAACAAGTGACCAAGACTGAATCCCCTATAACCAGCTATCTGATTTACCTGACACTGAAGACAAGATAAGCCAAAGCCAATTGGAAAAAAATGCCAAATTCTACCAAAGGTGTTACCTAGGTGTTTTCAACCCAGACAGGACTTGGGTGAGGGAGGGACAGGCCTGAGCCCACCCAGAAACCCCAGTGGTAAAGAAGAGAGAAAGTATGTGAGCAGAGCCAATGTGGCAACCCCCCTGAGACTCTATCGTGATTGCAGCAGAGAAACTTGTAAACAAGACTCAATCCCTCAGTGCCTCTCCCCTGCCCTTCCCTCCCAGAGCAGCATCCAGCTTCCTAGAATAATCTACATGCAGCCAGAGACAGCAGTTGTCCTGGATAGGAATCTATCCAGGGGTGGCAGCAATGTCTTTCATCACAAAATACCCTGCACATAGGTAGGCCTGGGTTCTGCCTGCTGGTGTGGCTGAGCCCACAAATGCTTTAGGCATTTTCTGCAATCTCAATTTCTTCCTTTATAATATGCATTCATGCATTCAGCATGAATTCCCTGAGCATATACTATGTGCTACATGCTGACAAGACCCTGTGAGAGATTCAGAGAAGAATATACAAAATTGAAGTTGTCAGTTCCATATAATCCATAGGTGGAACAGAGGTATCTGTTCCCCTACCCCAGGTAGAGTGGAAATTTGTTCAACCACAGATGTCAGCAAGAAGGGGGAAGTGTAGCTGAGGTCACCTTGCCTTATCTTTACCTCATTCCCACCCTGACACTGGTCTATCCCAACTCAGAGAGGAGGGTCCCTGCCAGGCTGTTTAGAGGAACTATCTTGATGAGTAGAAATCACTAGTGGTCTTAACGAGAATAACAACTGCAACCACAACTCATCTCCACCCCAATGTAGCAAGTACAGCATTTTGAGGCTTGGGAAGCACATTTGCACCCAGAATCACCTCAACTCTGGAAGGCATCATGATCCTCATTCCACAGATGAGGAAATAGAGTCTCAAAGAGCTTAGGTGACTTGAAAAGGGTCACTCCACCACGAAGAGTTGGGGCTGAGCTCTAGGACTTCAATATCAAGTGCCCTGCT